CTCTCTCTCTCTCTCTCTCTCTCTCTCTCTCTCTCTCTCTCTCTCTCTCCCCGAAGCATGCCCAATCGGTCGATGTTGGGGGGAGCCAAGGATCCGCAAAGTGATGAAATGGACTCGTATGGGCAATGCAGCGTCAGCCAAGCACCAACAAGCAATGCACATCCAGATACATACGAAAGAGCACAATGTATTGCAGCGGAGGACTCAAGATATGATCTGACCTGTCAGATACTGATGCAACACTCCATCGTACGCCACACATGTGTGAGAGAGAGGAGGGACTCCATACATAGAAGAAATATCCCTCCTTGCACACGCACATGGGGAGGTGGGATATCACGAACGAGAGATGCGGGGGGAGGCGAGACGAAGATGGAGGCGAGGGAGAAGATTAAGATCGCTATAGCGAAGTCCAAAAAATAATCCCTGGCCAAGTGTCCAATCAATGTCTGCCGCAAACAAAATGTCAAATCAGATCCTGGGCATATGCCCATGAAACCTCTGCCTGAAGTCTCTCTCTCTCTCTCTCTCTCTCTCTCTCTCTCTCTCTCTCTCTCTCTCTCTCTCTCTCTCTCTCTCTGAAAGAGGCAGCAGCAGCAGCAGCAGCAGCAGCAGCAGCAGCAGAAGAAGAAGAAGAAGACGAAGAAGGAGGAAGGAAGAAGAAGAGGTGGAGGGCGAGACAGATAGAAGAAGAAGATGATGTCGTCCTCCTCACTGACTCACCTGCAGGTAACTGCTGCCAAGTACTGACGTCGCCGGCGTACGCTGTGCTCCAGGTCGCTGGAGCCAGGTCCAGCTATGGCGCCCAGGTACGTACTCGAACGCTGCAGGTATGGCCTCCGCCCTGTCTCCCTACCTACTCCGCTACCTCTAATGCAGTGCAGCGCTGTCGCATGCGGTGCTGATCCAGCAGCGTGTCGCCCAAGAAGTGAGCTACTCGAACTGTCCGTTGCCCAGCCTCTGCCCAGCTATATGTAGCACTGGGCGAGGCTGGCCATATCTGGTGCTGGCCTCAAAACGGCCTACTGGACGTCCAGACTGTGCTGCTGATGCAGCAGGGCGCCAAAAACACGCACCTGGCCTTTGTAGGCCCTGCCTCCGGTACCCAGTCCCAAGGTTGTGCCTTGGGGACTGCAAGTCTGAAACGACACCTGCACAGACCACGATGGTTCAGCAGGTAAGTAAATAAATAAATGCTGCCTCTATTTGCCGTAGGTGGCCTGGAGGCCGCCGTGGGCCTCCAGGGCGCATGTCTGATGGGCATGCGGCCTGGGGGGCCCTTCAGTAACCGTCGGGCCCATCGAATGGGGCCCGTGTGCAGGCGCAGCTTGTAACACTCTCTCTCTCTCTGTGTCTGCCTGTCCGCCCGTCTGTCTGTCTGTCTGTCTGTCTGTCTGTCTGTCTGTCTGTCTGTCTGTCTGTCTGTCTGTATGTCTCTCTCTCTCTTTCTCTCTGTGTATATATATATATACATATATCCCTCTCCCCTCTCTCTCTCCCTAAACATGTTCCTATGCAGGCATCGAAACCAATCCTCTTTGCTAGTGGGACCTCGCCCCGCAACTCAGCATATATGAAAAAGACAAAAGTGCAGAAGTTCATTTCCATGTTTTGGGGAAGATTCAGGCTCCATTTTGGGCATTTGGTGAGTAGTGCAGTGCAACCCTTGTTTTCCTTGTTTGTTTTTTTCTTTTGCCATTTTCTTTTTTCCCCATGCAATTCTTCTCTGTCCTGAACTTTCGTCGTGGGAAACACAAGACCAACAACGAACTGCAAGAGTCCACCCTTCCCAAAGACATTCCTGGTCCCACCAGTTCCTGGGTCTAGTGTTGGACCATTATGCGAGACCTGGGCTTAACTTTAATAAGATAGAGCAGAAAACGAAGACAGATTCTGAGCAGCTATGGTGCTTAGTGGCCAAGGTGCAGCCTTGGTCTCCCGAAAAGGTGTGATGGCCCTCGGTGGGATATGGGCAGGTGCTCAACATGCCACATACAGCCTGTGGAATGAGATAGGTATGCACAGGTTTACAGTGTTCAATGAGCGTCACCAATGAGCCCAATCTCGGGGTACTGGTCTGTGTCGTGATCCTAGAGGTTGCTGCGCGAGTGCAGGCAGGGCAGGTTTCCACGGTAGCTTCATATGGTCTGGTGGTTCCAGCTGGAAAGGACAAGAAGCGCACCTGTGCCGCTCGGGACAGAGCACAGCCTGGGAGTGGATGGAGGTGTAATTGCGATTTTCATTTTACTGGCTTCACAGACCAGTATTGCATGGGCAAAAGAAACTAACGAAGCAGGGAGGGAGTAGTCATGTTACATACTCGTGAAGGTCTCAAAGACTCTCAACGAGTATGGGGCAGAACCAAAGATCAACCAATATAGGATGAGCATGTATGCAGCGGAAGTCTGATAACGGACTGACTCACATAGACTGACTCACACAGATATCACTCCACACACATACAATTGTGAGATGGTGGGGTCTGAGCCATACATGGAAGATGCTCAGGCCCCGTACACACATTCACAGATGAAAGGTGGGAGGAGAGACGAAGGAGGTGGGGGAGGTAGACAGCACCGAAGGTCACCGAGATAGAATCCGATAGGTCACCAATATGGTAGTCCAAAATGTCATCAAACAAGATCAAAATGTCGAGGACAATAAGTCACCAATGTCGGAGATACAGAGTCCAAATGTAACCGGTGTCCGAACTGTGATGCCGCCGAGTATCAACCCCAACAATCTCCAAGTCTCAAATCAGGTAAGTACCACAGCCTCATACCACTGAAGTCCAACACTGATCTCTGTCGAACTAGAAGTCTCCAATCTGAAGAAGAAGAAGAAGAAGAAGATGAAGTCTGAAGAAGAAGAAGAAGAAGAAGAAGAAGAAGAAGAAGAAGAAGAAGGGAGTCGAGGAGGAGAGAGAGAGAGAGGGGACTGGCGACGGGAGAGAGGAGAGAACCCCGGCTCCCGATACCTCAGGCGGCTATGGCCGCCAATATGCTCAGTCGCCGCTGCTGCTGCTCCGCTCGCTGCCGCTGCTGCGCTACTGCTGCTGCCACTGCTCCTCGTACTCCTGCACTAAGAATAGCGCTAGCGCTCTGGCGCTAACCATAACGCACCGCTACGAATGGCGGTGGTTCGATCCCGAACTGAGGCTGGACCGGTACTTTTGTACCAGTGGGGCAGAGGCCGGCCTCTATGCTGCGAGGCCTGGCCGTGTCCTGAACCGTCAAGATGGACGGTTCAGCCCCAACCGGCGGGCGGCAGCCTCAAGAGCGCCGCCAGGCCCAAACGGTAATGTCGTTTGGGCCTGCCCGTCGGGTCTGGTCCAAGGTAAGGCCTTTCCGGCCTGTAATACCTCCAAGGTCGGGCCTTTAGGCCCTACTGTGTCCCTCTGGCCCTAAGTCGGGTCCGGTAGGACCCGTGTGGCGTCGAAGATGTAACACACTCCCCCTCTTAAAAGACCGAGCTACCT